CCCTGTGCCACATGCTCTAGGTGTGCCTGCTTGAGCAGGAAGGTTGGACTAGATGATCTGTAGAGGTCCCTTCCAACCTTAAATATTAAAGGCATAATTTCTGCAAATTAAAAGTTAGATCAAGTAGTCTGAAGTAGCATATGTCTCCAGTCTCTTTCTGTATGTTGTTACCTTGCCTGTGGAGGCTTGTTTCACAAACACTTGGAAGAGTTCAGAAAGTTCATTAAGTAGGACTCTGAACTGTTTACTAAACACACTGTAATACTAGGAGAGAATATACCCCGAGATACCTGCTTGAGACAATATGTTTCTTTCAGATAGGTAGATATCTTAAAGAAATAGGTAATGCAAAATCCTTCCTTAATGATAATCTTGAAAGAGCCTGGGGCATTTGATCCAATTGCTCTAGTATCTCCAGGTGCTCAGCTCTGCTTGTTTCCCTTTCTGCTGGTCTTCTGGAGTTTTACATTGAATTTGCTATTTGCTGTTATTCAATAAAAAGGTCATTTTAAATTTGTAACTACTGTTGATCAGATACTGCTGCTGAAATAAATGATGCTTCTCTGTGAGGTCCCTTAGCAGAAAAAGCAAAACATTGTGAAAATGAAAAAAAGGTTTTCTATGAAGCATGTGGAGCTTGAATGCTGCTTTTTAAGTCTCGTCTCCCTCTTCAAGGCTTGACCTCTATCTTTGAATACATACACATTCTTATTTTGGATGTACAAATATTTGTTAGTAAATATGTACCAGCTGCCTTCCTGAAAAGCAGATTATCAGATGCCAGGATATAACTAGCTTGCTTAAATCAATATGGAAATTTAATAAAATGAGGAATATTATTTTATTTCAGGATTCTGAAGATCTAGACCTCTTATTTCAAGCAGCAATGGATCTTAGCACGAGTAACAAGCCTTATGATTGTGTGACAGCTTCATATTTGTTGAACTTGTTAGTACATCATGAAGAGCTGCCGCGTATTTGTTTAGGAAAATGGATTGAATGCAACTCTCAGATAGATGAAGATCAATCAATCAGTGTAGTGGAGAAGAACACTTTAGTAGGTAAGTATTGGGGAAAGCTGAGAGGTTCTGTATCTCCTTGATCTGGCTTTTGAAACAGGCTGGCTGCAGCAGGATAATGTAATCTGCAAGAAAAAGGAATAAAATTTAAATTGGTCAATTTGTTGTAATAAAGCATGGAATGTAAATTTGTAGTCAATTTTTTTTTTTTTTTTCTTTTGGCATGTGTGTGTTTGCCGTTGTGGACTTCTTTGCAGATTACTTATGGCCCTTTTCATATGCGTTGAAATCATCCTTTAGAGACATATATATGATTGTCATAATTGAAACAAATGCATGGGCTATCTCACGTCTTGTTGTCATTGAATATCTCTTGTTACTAGAGGGATCCATGGTTCGTTATTGGGATCTGCAGTTTATTCTGATTGTGGCACTGAGGTGCTGCATGGTGTATGTTAAGTAGGCATATGTAGCCTTGAAAACTGGGAAGCTTCTTTAGTGGCTAAATAAAATATAAATGTCTGACTGGCAGCTTTTGATCTTTAATACTCTACTGAAATGCTTACTTAATCAACCAAGTTCTAAGGGCCCAGTTTCRCTTTCATATATACAGGTTACAGCTCTTGACTTCTTCATGAACTACAGGACTGTCCCTGAACGTAGGATTTATCCTACACTTTTCCCAGTTGCAGGTAGGCTAACTTGGCTGTAACAGATATTGCTCTAATTCAGGTAACAGAAAACCAACCAGACTTGTTTTTAAAATGAACAAAAGACTGAGAAGTATAGACCAATTCCTGTGCATTTCTTTTTTCATTGAGTTACTACTTAATCAAGTTCTGCTGCTGTTTAAGGGAACCCTGTTTTGCTTCTCAGAAAACACAGTAAGTGTGTGTATGTTTAATGTAAATGTTTTTATTTTTTTTCCCTTTTATTTCAGTTATCAAGATTTTGTTAGCGAATGTTGAGGAAGAAATATTTCAAGCCAAAAAGTCCTTGCTTCAAGCAGCAGCATCATTCCCAATGTATGGGAGAGTGCATTGTATAACTGGGGCTTTGAAGCAATTACCTTTAAGGTGAGTAAAACTTAATAATAATAATAATAACCACTGAGCTAAAACTTATTACTTATTAAGGATGCTGCTAGAACTACTCATAAGAACATAAAAGCATACAATATTTTTCTTACCTAATTCAGTACCTGTGTCTTATTGGCTTTTCTATATGATACTTTCTTTGTGTATCTTAATCTCAGTTTTAAAACTTGTCAAAGGATACCTCATTTACAATTTTTGTTAATAGTGTTGCAAAATTGTTAGTAATTTTAGTGGTTTCTTTTGAATATAAAGCTATTTTATGCATTTATTTTATAGCTATATGTAGTTCATGGTTGTGCGTGTTTTAAATTTAATTAATTAATTTTGAAGTAACTTGGCATTAAGAAGTGAATGGAAGCAAATGGTGGCCAGGCTCATTCTGATGTCCTACAAACTCTCTGGTGTAGTGTCTCCAGTAGTGCAGAGCTCATCCCCAGAAGGTCTTATTCCAATGGACAGTGATTCAGGTAAAGTAATTTATAGTTGATTCTGAAGTTCTGTGTTTTTGTTTTTTTCCCTAGCCATTAAGAATTGTCTTTATATACTTGCTGTTTAATTTAGTAGTATTGGATAACTGTTTTCTTTGCTGTTCTTAATACAGGAATTTACCCTGTCCTGTTGCTTTTTAATGCTTAGTTGCAGTCAATCCAACCATGATCTTTTTCCCCCACCACATCCTAGTCATAAGTCTCCTCACTCAGTGTCTCCCATGGCTTGCCAGAATTTCTTGTTGTCTGACAGGACTCTAAGAAATGTATCCAGAAAAGCAATAATGACTTCAAGGAGGGGCTGGAATTAAGACATAAATCCTTCTTTTGGAAACTGATGCTTATTTTCCAAATAGTTAGCTGCGTGGGAAAACTTTTGATAATCTCTTGCAACAGATTTCTTCAAAAGGTTTCTTGACCTATGCTATTTGTTTTTTTTTTTTTCCTGAGAGTGATTGCAGAGGTATTTTTCACTTTAGGCCAAGATTTGCTTTAGTTTTAAGACAGTCTTGTTGCTTCTGTCAGATATAAGCAATATTTCCTGAGTGGAATTGGTCTTCAGTTTTTCACTTTTTCTTTAAATTACTTTTAAGTACATAGCTGTTTCTTTCCTTATTTTTAAAAATGCTTGGAGATGCATAACTCCAGCCATGGTGATTGTCGATCCCTTAGGCTGCCTGCAGCTCTTGAGAACTTCAACTGATTGCAAGTCCRTATGGTAGCAAAATTCCTCTCAGCTGATGCCTATCAGGGTCAGCTGGTGCTTATCTAGGGACTCTAATGTCTGATTGGATTCTGATTTTTGGGAGAAGCCAACCAGTGGGCTCTTGAGGTTGATCTTGAAGTGCCTTAGGACGTACCCTTGCCTTTTTGTGAGCAAAAGTGATGGGGAGCCTTGATCCCTTTGAATCTTGAAGCTGCTCCTTGCCCTACTCTTTAAAGTCCTACAGCTCTTGAAGCTCTCCTGTGGAAAATCTGATGTGTGGTTTACAAAGACAGGGAAGYTGGTCATTTTGTGTAGCCCTTTTTTTCTTCCTTAATCCTCATGCTTATCATATTTTTTTTTGGTTTGTTTATTAATAACTTTTGTGCTTAAAATGAGTTATATAAAAAGCTGGCAGTCAAAACAGTCCTCTTGTTGAAGGTGCAGAAACAGCAGATCGACTGCAAATGATTCTGCACGAGATACAGCCACAGGACACAAATGACTATTTCATACAAGCAAAGACTTTGAGAGAATACTGCGAAGTGGAATCTGAAAAGCTGGTTGACCGCAAGCCAGCAGAAAATATTTGCCCAGAAATAAAAGGTAATTCAAATACTGTATTAGTAATTAAAGCAAGCTATTCTGTATGGAGCAGACATTTTACGTGGGTGATCAAAGTGGGAAGTTATTTGCTCTGTATAACATTTCACTTCGATAATAAATCTGTCAGAAGCTCGTTATTCATGGGCATGGTTTAAAAGACTTAATTCACTGTGTTTCTGGCAGATTGTGGTTAATCTCTCTTAGAGTACAAGTGAAAAAGGGTTGTTTTGGTCTTGGCCTAGCCTCTCTTGGCTTAACTGCGYTGGCCAGGTAGGCTCTAACACCTTTTCTGTCAAGCAACTCTTTAACACCTTTCTCGTTGAAAGGTGTTAGTGTGATTTCCCTCCCCAGTGTACACAAGACTAGTGGGGAATTCATCATGCAATAAAATTTGGTGCATGAAATTACATAAGCAGAAGCTTCTGTTCAAAGTATTGTAGGGATAACATGCTAGATAGTATTTCTGTACTTTAACAGTAGCTGTGGATTAAAATGAAATTGAAGCTTACAGCAATAGAGAAACTTCCAAATCAGTGTGTCAATGTGAGCTGTTCTCATCTGAACTGTTTTTGCTTTTTAAGTTCAACATATTTAGGTCTTTTTCCTTGTGTATTTTTCCTGTGTTTAAAATAGCTTGGGTTGGGCCATATGTTTTGTTTTATGAAAACAAACCTGTAAATATATTATTGAATTTCTGGTAGTGACCACCAGATGGGGCCACTGCATTAAATAAAATTATGCTTTTGCTTGAGTGTAAGGGAGTCGTGAGCTAAAGCATAAATAACATGTAGTGTGTGATGGATTGATGATTGGCATGGGAATTTGTTAGAACCTGGATCCAAAGTTGAGGTATTTGTGTGGTTCTATGTGCAATCAAATGTTAACGTTGATCAAGAGACCTCTGTCCTTTAAAACAGCAGTTTCCTGGCAGAGTTGTTTACTGCTACCCTTTCCAAGCAGCATAAATTACAGTAAGTGTTCCAGGCATGGAGGGAAGTGGCCTCAACAGAACCGAATTATCTCTTGGTTTAGCAAGTTAAAAAATTTCAAGATCAGGCTAAAATCAATTTTAAAATCTTTGCATGAAACTTTGGGTAACACAATTGAATCTGTTGCTTTTTCTCTTTAAGATAAAGACAGGCAAACGTGCGATGTCACAGCTCAAATGGTTCTTGTGTGCTGCTGGAGAAGCATGAAGGAAGTGTCTCTGCTCTTGGGGACACTGTGCAAACTTTTGCCTTCACAGGCTGCATCTCAAGCTGCAGATGGGTTGATCACTGTAGAACAGGTAGGGGAATACTTTTTACTATAGAATCTTAATTTTTATGGAAAAATACATATATTTTAATTACACTTTTAATTACAGTGAATCATAGCTGCTGGGWTTTGACTTAAAGCTCTGTTGATCTAAATTCATAGTCATGTTGATCTAAATTCATAGTYACAGATATTGAGGGAAGCGTKCTGACAAATCTTAGTCTTGTCCTTYGTGACATGGGAAATTGAATTATGGAGAAATTATATGCAATATGACTTTCCTCCAAATTTTTTTAATTAAAAATCAAAAATGTTAACATGCCACCTGGATCTCTTGTAGAATGTTGAGTGAAGCGTTTACAAGAAATGAAATTACCACAGGAATTTGAGGAATATTTCATATTTATTCTTTTTTTTAATTGATGATATTTTCATTTCCATATAGTTTTCACAAAATCCATTTTTGCATAGAGCATAGAGACACACAAGATGTACTTTCTTCCTCCACCAGAAAACAAATATTTTTTCTGTAGCTGTTAAAGCATTCTGTTGTAAAACTGATAATATAAAATGTACTGCAGTTCTTATTTCTTATGTTAGCTCTTGTTGCAGTGCCGCAAAAATAATATTTTTCTTCTGGCATTGTCTCTAGCTTGTGTTTCCATCTGGTTGACAGCTGTGCTTGTGCTGTTGCAGAGCTCTCCCATGCAGATGAGAACAGCAATGTGCTTCCTCCRCTGCATTCCCTAGTCTGCTTCAAGTCAAACAGGAACTGGTATTTTAGCATGAGTCAGCTCTAGCTGYAGCATCTCCCTCTTTATTTAGAGAGCAATAATATTTAGCCTTTCAGAAATGTTGTATTGTTAAGCAGTGTCTCCTATTTGTATAGATTTCTTAATAGTTTTTTTCCTGCTTCTAACACCATCTTGTAAAACAACAAGTCTGCATTCTGTTTTTATGAAGAATGTTATTTGTCAAGAAGTTGGTTTCAAACCSTATTTTTTTCATGCTAATGAGGAAATATTTGGCTGTATATATAARATCACTTACAAAAGTAGTGCTTATGGTACTGTACAAAAATAGGTGATTTAATCATAAAAATGGTAGAGTTTGCATGGCACTGCAGTGGCTTCAGACTTCCATTAAACGCATATTTTTCAATGTTCGGAAATAGGAGAACTGGAATCTAGTGCCTTATGTACAGCTGACCTTTAAAGTTGCACATTTTTATTGTGCCAGTACACCATAATATACATATATATATAAATAATATAGATACAAGAACAATAAGAGGAGGAGGAGAGAAGTTCAGTAGAAACTTTGGTCTTACTGCCTTCAATAAGGGCTAGGTAAGTGCTGAGAAAAATCTGGTAGCACCACTTGGCCTTTCAGTGTAACCTGGTTGCAGYGGCTCCCCTTTTTTTCTTTGCATTGAGCATGCAGGTGAAAAGAAAACCTGTTGATCCCTGCTGAGGAATGGTGCAACAGAGCTGTTCTCTCTGGTAGGCAGTGGGACTGTTGGKAAGAATCAAGAATCGGTGTCACCAACAGTTAAATGCTGCCTTCACAATATGTGCTTATGTGGAAGCAGCTGGGGGAGAGAGAGCTCTTGTTTGAGCCTTTATTTGGAACTAGAAACCAGGGCAATATCAAATTTGTACTTTTGTGCTCTGGGTAACAGATTGAGTTTGCTCAAAATTTAACTGTCACTACGCTTAATGACATCTCAGGACAGCTTCAGCTCCTTGTGCAGAGACATCGTGTGCAGAGGAGCCTTGGATTACAGTGTTTAAACTGGCAGGCTTCAAAGCTTCTCCAGCGTTGCTGTTGGCTGATTTCCCTGAAAAATAGTCTTAGGAAATGTCTAATATGTCTGTAGGAATYTCTCCATTCAAATACAAGGTCTGTCTTTTATTCTTCATGTGATCTGAGAAGTCCAAGGATGCCAGGCTCTGCCTGGTAGGACAACTGCTCTGAACAGTATCAYCCATAAAAGACACCTATCCTAGTGACAGCCAAGTAGGCCAGAATAAATGATGTCTCACAAGGTGTGTTGATGTTGTGACAKGACCTCTGCAATCATGAGGCAATCCTTGAAGCCTGGAGAAACATCTTGTTTGAGCACTCAGTCCTTCCCCAGTTCTTATTTATCTTGCCTGGAGAGGTGATTTTGGGGCCGTAAGCTTGTCATAACTGTTTATCAAAGTGGAAAGAAGGCAGCAGAGGTACAGACCCCAGCCCTGGCCCAAATTCTGCTTGTGTAAACCTGGACACTTGAACAGAAGTGATTGTGAGCCTCATCCTTGAAACCTGTCAAGTACAAGGAAGTCTCAGTATTAAAAACTTAATAGTCTCTTGCTCTGTAAGTTAAAAAATCATGGCTCTTGTTGCACCTCTGGAGTTTTTCTCCAAGGACCCATAAAAAAGTGAGGGAAAAAGCTCCAAACAAYCTTACAGGTAGCATTAATGTAATCTTGCTCTCCTGGAATTAGCCATGGTTGCCACTAGTTTACAGTCGCAATGAAGACTGATTCCTTTGCTTGCCCGCGCTCCTGACATTTGAGGTACTGGTTTGGTGCTCTGGAAGGTCTGAGTGCCGCTCCAGCTCTTCATTCCTTCCTGGAGGAGCAGGAGTGCCATGGCCAGGGCTGCTGTCAAGCTAGGGATCTATCCTCATGCATTGACATGAGGATCAATGCTGTGACATCTGGGAGAACTTAAGTTGTGGTAGGTTTTCTTCAAATTAGTAGGAATGAAAGCAAGTATATCRGAGTTTAATTTGATGTAACTTGACGTAAGTGTGGCTGTTGCATAAAGCCCAAACTTAGGTGAAAGTTACATGTCCAAAAATATCTGTATGAAATATTCTAAAAATGTAAGGGAGTTGGTGGGACAGGGCGGTGATTTGACTTGTGTGTATATGGTTTTCCTGGTTTGGTTTTGTTTATATGCTTGGGGAGTTTGTCTGTGGGTCARCTACTTCTGAGAAAAGGCTCTTATTCCTGCCTTTGAGCTAGAAAGCTAAAAGTCTGCATGTATAAACTGACTTAAAGTCCACTCAGATTAAGTTATTTTAGCTCAAATTATACTTTGTTTCATATTATGTGGGTTTCATATGCTGCAGAAAATAAGTTATGCATAGTCTTCCCTCTTATTCTAACTTTTCTGCCTTTATCTTTTGGATAATATGATTTATGTAGAGTAGGGTGGAAAATAATTTGTAGATAGGTATGGAATTAACTTTTCTGATATTTTAATTACCTTTCAGACTATTGTAGTATTTTAAAGCAGAATTTTTAGAACTTATTAATATAATTATAAAATAAAATAATTCTATATAAAAGCTTTAAGATTTTTTTTTTCTGACGAACTTTTGGGAAATATTAGTGGGGAAAAAAATATGTGATAGAATTGTGTATGTATATTATGCATTTTAACCAAATGATGCTGGCGATTTAATTTAGGCCTTAAAGCTGATGTCAATTAGAGAATATGAAAGCAACTCCTTGCAGAATGAGATTGTGTAGTATTGTAAAGCTATTTTGAAGCTTACATGCTTGCTGTCTTGCTGGAGTTACAGAATCAGTATCAGTGAAATTCTAGTTGCAGCGATTTAGTTGCTTTCAAATTGTCAGTGTAGCTCTCGTTACSAGGTCTGTGCAGTGCCTTTATTCTAGAGCTGTTTCTAGCAGTCAAAAGGCAAACATGCAGAATCCTGAAACCTTAAACTTTGTTGTTCCTCTCTTTTCTCCTCTTTACATTAGAACTCCTCTTCTTTCTCTGRCACTGTTTCTACATACTTGATTCTGATTTTATGATTTAGTAGCTAACTAGCTTTGGAATTTAAGGTAAGAGTGAAGGGAACCATGAAAGATTGTTTGTTTCCCAAGAAAAGAATGGGAGAACATTGATYTTCATAACGTTACAATATACTCCTCTGAGATCAATAGCTACTTTGAGTTATTTTATGATATTTTGCCCCTTGTTTTCTTCTTAAGGAAAAAGTTGTAGAACTACACTTCTGAAATGAAGAATGGAGTATAATATCTGTCTTCCTTAAAATAAGTGCCCTTTTACAATAGGTCTTTTAACTGCCTCTTGTTTTCAATGTGACTTTTTCAACCAGGAGAAAAACTTTGCCTTTTTATGGCTGTTGTGGTAGCAGAAAATGCCTGTACACTATTTGTATTTAGAAACAGCAGACTCCATATTCTTTTGCATTTGTAAATGAATTGCTCATGTAGTTTCAAATAACTTTCTCTTTCCCTCTTTCTCTTTGTATTTTAAAGGTTAAAAATATTGGGGACTACTTTAAGCATCATCTGTTGCAGTCGAGACACAGGGGCGCGTTTGAGTTAGCGTATGCTGGCTTTGTGCAGCTTACAGAAATGCTCTCCAGGTAAAAAAAAAAAAAAATCTCTTATGTTTTTAATAGAGCTGTTCTACTCAACTGTGGTACTTGTGRTTCACTTCTGAAATGGGCTGTGCAAGCAGCTTCTTGATATCGTGTGGACTTTGTGAGAGTTTGGGGTGCGCTGGCACGTGGGCATGGGCATGACATTAGTTACATGAAGCTGTAACTTTGAATTGTGTCATTTCTTTTAAGAGATGGTGCTTAGGCTTTGAAAGAAGATAAGGCCACTTAATGCCCTTATTTTTCTTGATTTCTGGAGTGTCGTTTTATTGAACCACTCTCAGGAGCTTGTGGGGAAAGTAGGAGTGAAGGCCCTTGTCCCTCCCCGCCTGTCACACAGGTGACGTGTGGGGCTGTTTCTTAGGCCCCGGGTGAGGTGTTCCCAGGTATGTGGGCAGCTTTTAGGGAAGTGATTTCATTGTAGCTCTGGTTGGCAAATCTCGTGTAAAAGGGATACAGCTTGGACGTTTTAGGCCTCTCCAGGATTTTCTAAGCTGAATCCAAAACACTGCTCTGCTGGATATTCTTGGCTGCAGTTTATATATACATTAGCACRCTAGGCAGTTTTTCACTCAGTTTCTGGAATCAGATGTGGCGCTTCCAGTAATGTTAAAACAAGCAAACAAACACCCCCACACAAACCAAGAAAAACTTCCTTCCTTCAATTACTTTTCTTGCAGACCCCTGACATAATTTAAGACTTTCTGTATTCTTACTTATATAGGATTTTATATGTGAAACTTTGCCCTGCCCGCCCCCCAAAAGAGACTGGTCTTCCTTGAAGCTATGCAGTGGCAAATTGAACCTTATTGGCCCAATAACTAGTATTTTCATTTCAGGTGATATTTCTTTGCAATTTATTTAGATACTTAAACAAAAAAATCCAAAGTAAGTTGGTAAAAAGTACAGAATGCATAGAAAGAATTGCTGAATATGACAGGATGTTGTCCTAGGCATGCTGGAGATGAATATAAACATGTGAAATGGATGACTGTGCTGTATTATCCACTTCATGTTTTGAAGGGTTTCCATCTCCCATCAGTTTGGCCATAAGCTAGCCATTGGAGCAATGCTATAACGATATAAAAAGCTTTTTCCACCACCACCACCAGCGTTTTTAAGGGAAGAAGGAATGGATTCAAATAGCTGCAACYCCACTAGACTGATATTAGGCAAATTCAAGGCTACCTGGAATGCTAGGTATAAAGATAAGGGTAACTGAAAAGCAGGAAGTACTGAAAAACATCAAATGTTGCGACAGTTTATAGTGGGTCCCATTACCAGCTGTTTTTCTTTGTTTATCAGTTTTTAAATTTCTTTTAAAAGCAGAAGCAACTGGAGCAGACTGAGTCTACTTAGACTTCAGTGAACTTTCTAATATGCTTGTGCCCTGACAAATCATGACAGCTTCTGGTCATCTTAGCTCCCACTCCACTTTTTTTTCCCCACTGTTTAAACTTCTGCATAAACTTCTTAAGAGCAGGTTTGTCATGTTGAAATGGGCTACAGCTGTTTTTAACTTTTTGATAAAATCAATGTGGTGAGGTAGTCCAAGATTAATGGTAGTTGTTTTAGAAATCAAAGGAATTTTGTCTGCTGAGGAGAAAAAATATTCTTTTACTATTCATTGGAGTGTTTATAAGGTAGCAAAGTAGAATATGTAACATTAAGGCACTGCTCAATTCCAAGGCATGTTAATTTTTAATGCTTGGTGGTTTTTTCTTCTCCATTTCTTATGCTCTGTGCTTTGTAAAAGAAAAGTGGGGCTGATGGTGACGGCCCCTAAGGGCAGCAAGGTCCTGTGTTCTGTGGTGGTGCTGGCGAGATCTCGAACGAGGAGCTTTTGAGTGCAAAATTTTGCTTCATTGAGAGCAGCTGCTGTGAGAAAGAGSGTGTCCGTGAGAAAACCAGTCTTAATAGTGTTAGAGGATGTTCTTAAAAGTGGGCTTTTTGAGGGTGGCTTGAATAGGAATGTGATTCTGAGGTTAGATTCTTGTCTCCTTGCAAAGACAAGAATAGAAATCATATCGCATATGTGAAAAAGAATAATGCTGTAGTTTTTCTAGGGGAGAAAAATGGTGAAAGCCTCTTTTCCCTAGATAGGATGGATTACAGCTATTGGAAGCGTTGAACTCTGGATATACCCATACAGAAAATGCTTCTAGTCGTGTGAAGTTCATGCCACAAACCACCAGCATCCAGGAAAGCCAAACCCAAGGCAGACCCTTTGTTCTCAACACACCATTTATTTTGGATAGGAGAAAACGCAGCCCTGTGAGTTAGAGAAGTGTCTGGACCTTGGAATTCCCAGCCCTTCTGCACGGGCTCAGCCTGACCACAGACACGGGTTTGGGTGCGTGTGAAACCGCTGCACCCGGCAGCCAGACAGGCCGGTTTGTGGAAGAGCAGTCGCGGCCCCCCAGCTGGAGGAACTTGCACATGGGACTCTGGTCATCAACGCTGTTTTCTAAATCTGGTAGAAAATTATAATATGAAAGTGGTGGTCTCGAGCTCAAATGTCCTTTTCCAGAATGAATYGGTAATTACTTTTTACCAGCTTCATTATTATTCTTCAATTTTAGGGCCACCTGCTGCTTAAGACAATATGCTTCTTGCCAGACTATAAAGAAATGCGGCTGCCCAGTTTAAGGGAGTAGTCTCCTCCATTGCTAAGTCAATAGTCTCTACTATTTTTTACTTTAAAGCAGTATCACTTTCACACTAAAAAAGAGTGGGGGGGGAAAAAGCCTTGGTGGGTGACTCTACAAGGTAGAATTACTTGTGGCAAGATCAAAGCAACTCAGCTTTAAGGAAGTCTGAAATTTATGGGATTTCAATATATTTTCCCTRTTCCTACTACTATTGAAAGGGGAAAAAGACTCAATTTACCCAAGAGTAAAATATTCAGTGTGCTGCAWAGCAACTGTTGAATGTCGGACCAGCCATGGACACGGTCAGAGGTGTTTGCAGGACGAGCTGCCTCGGCTTAAGAGAACTGTGGAGTACAGCCTGGCGCAACAGAGCCGCCGGGTCATCGTCAGCACGGCACATTTCGAGGGCGCTCTCTGCTGAACCTGCATCCATCTGGTTCATCCCGAAGCTCAGGCCATCCTAGGGCAGCTGGAGGGAGGCTGAGAAGTGGGAGCTGCTGGAGGACTCTGGAAGAGGAGGGCAGAAGGAAGGTGATAGCTCGGTTCCCTAGCTGTCAGCACTGGGTTGCTGCTTTGTGGGCCTGGGCACAGGGGGCCTTCCTTTATGTTGTAATACCAGCTGCGGTCCTTCCCGGGAAGCCTTGGTTCTCCAGCTTCCTGGACTGGAAGTTTGGATGCTGGCTGCTGTTTGAAGAGGTCCCCATAGAGAATGGGGAAAGGACTTGGCAGCAGAGTGAGAAATTCACAGTAGAAATCCAAGGGATGTCTTTGAAGAGTTAGGAAAAAAAAAAAAAAAAAAAAAAAAAACCTGTCGTGGCTTCTGCTGATCTATCTGGTGCTTCCTGTGACCTCTGGTTTCTCTGTTATTAATTTTCTGTTTATTTTGTAACAGAAGGAACAGGGTGGAAGGGGACTGTTTTCTAAAGACTCAGGAGTTCAGGTACAAAAGTGAGCTAAATACAGATGAAAACGTCACCTGCTGCCCAGTATTGAGTTTTTAGCCTGCCCAAATTCCTACTTTGGGGAGAGAAAGGAAGCAGGATGAGGGAAAGATGATGAAAGGCAGAGCAGATGTGGAGTTCTATTAGATTTCAGTTTTGAAATTTGTTCCTGCTGCATTTTAGCTTTACACTTGCTTATTTATTTCAATCTCCCAAGTAAAAAAGCTGACCTTGTCCTAAGGCCTCACTGCTTAATTATGAATTTAATTATAGCTCATTTTTAGACAGGAAAAATCCTACATGATTGAGGTAATTGCCATTGTATTGGACACAGTGATTAATATTTTTATACAATCTGAATCATGCCTGTCAAATTAACAGGCCAGGTTTTAATAACAAAGTTGTGTTAATAGATTTTTTTTCAACAAAGAACCATCCTTTTGGAGCGTTGACATAAGATTAATGATTTGGTCTTTTGCAAGTTGATKAACACTGGGGCTTGAAGTAGCCTTGAATTCTGCTTGCCCTTGGAAGTCCTTTGCTTTCAGGTGCTGCTGAGTTGTATGCTGCATAGTGGAAGTATTTTATGATGGGGGAGCTAGTCAGATGCTTTACTGGAAGTTTGACTAAATTTTTAGTGGTACTTGCTATTTTTCATTCTGCTGCTCTGAGGCTTGCATTTATATGCTATATAATTATTGTGAGAGGCTTCAGTTGTGTTTTGTATGGTTGTAAAGATGGTTGTGTATGTTAGCTAATGTAAGGGTYAWGGGTTAGTTTCTGTGGGACAATAGAGGTGTGAATTTGTACTGTCACTTCCTACAGAACAACTGATGTGTTCATGTGTCGTTATGCCTTCTCCTCCAGAGAAGGATAAGGATGTTTCTGGCAGAAGAGAAATGTGAACTGCTGGATGCTAGAATTCTGTTTTTCCATTTAGTGAAATGTCCTCTCCTGGTGACACTTAGTAAGCAGGGCTAGTATTTGTACAGGTGTTGGGGGAGTGGGGGGTGGCAGAACAAAGTAAAATCTCTTAAATTTCTTTCTTTTAAATTTTTTTCTGTGTGTATATGCTTGGATTTGCAGATGATAAAAATATTTTTAAAGTGCTKCTTAAGTTTGCTGTAAGTTACTTTGACTTAGATTCTTTCTTGCTTACTTTTTATAGATGTAACATTGAGAGTCTGCGCAAGATGCCAGAGCAATGGTTATGTCACGTCTTGGAAGAAATCAAGTCTTGTGATCCTTCATCTAAGCTATGTGCAACCAGACGTAGTGCTGGAATTCCATTCTACATACAGGTATCAATTAATTTTCTTTATGTATGCTTATATCTACATGTTTATTTTTCCTGGTGAATGTTTGTTTATTTCCTTCCTCTGTTTGGCTTATTTGTGCAAACACAAAGTGATTAAGCTGTGTTTGGTGCAGTCTTACTGGGCAAGTCTACTGAATCTTTGACTGGAAAGAGATTCAGTGATTGGTGTTTCAAAGACCTGAGCTCAGGGTGGCCGCTGTGAAAAATCCCTGCAAAATTATAAATGACTCTCCTGATTAAATGAGCCATGTTATCAGGTAACTGTTTCCCTTTTAGAGAGGGGAGAGATGAACAGCAGAGCGTGTTGAGTTATGAAGAGACAATGACAAAATCATAAAATTACCTGCTCTCATTCCCCTTTGTTCTTAAGGGGATTGTGATTGCTTTCCTCTAAATTAAACCCCATCATTTTAATTTTCAGCCAGATTTCTGAGAGACAAGTCCAAGATAACCACGTAAGTGATTTGCAACCTTCTCCGCTCATTTAAAGCACAGTCCCAAGCCTGTTCCAGGAGTGTGGGGGACTGCCTGGCATAAGCTCGTGCTGCCAGCACACGACCTCCTGTGTCTCACCCTGAGCAAGCTGCCTTTGCAGGATGTCTCTGGAGGCAGTCATGGCTGTTCCTGCCTTGACCACGTGTGTGTGCGCACTACAAGGCACAAACCTTGTGAAGGGCATTGCTTTTAAAACTTTTTCCTTTTAAAGTTTCAGCAATTATAGATATTAAAAGGAATTTTGGTCTTTAAGTCCCCTGCAAAATGAATTTGGTGAGTTCTTGTCTGCTGGTTTCCCCATTCACACCCCAGGGTTCTAACCCAGTGGGCTTCAGCCAGCTCTGATGGTGCCAGTGTGAGACAACAAGTGAGTTTCAATCCAGTCTTCGTGTAACATGTAGTGCTGGGTCAGGTTAAGGACTACGTGGACTTCCACTGCAGCAAGCACTTGTACAGTCTGAAGTTGATCTACACTACTAAGTACATATGGCAGAGCTTGCACGGTGCCATAGGTGTTGGGCTAAACAAATGAGATGCTTCTGTTCTGATAATTCTTGAAGAGTTCCTGAAGTTTGTCTAGGCACCTAATAAGAAGAATTGAAGCTAGCATTGTTTTCAGTCTAATGATGTTTGAACTATAAGTTTATAATAAGGTGATGCTGCTCTTTGGCAATAGTTCTGGCTATTCAACAGTGTGTTACATTTAGGTTATAAAAATAAAAAAATCTCATGCATAGTGTAGTAGTCTTATAAGGTCATTTTATTAATGCATAAAATCACGACTCTGCGTGGTCTCTTTGCCATCTGTGTCCTGTGATAYTTATTTTTGATTTAGTGAACTGTTTTTATTGTAATGGTTATGCATAATTTTTAAGRTTATAGTCATTCTAAATGACCTCTTTAAAATAGTAATATTGTTACCTAATAATACAAATGGATGCAAAGGAAATGGTGGGAAAATGCTGATTATGACCTAAGCATTTTTAGGGTAGGGAGTTTGTAGTGATAACCTCATTTTCCCAGTTGTGTGGTGTGGTGGGGAGGGGGTTTCGTTGGTTTGTTTTTGKTTTTTCTCCGGTCATTAAAACCATTGTTAAAATGGCAGGGACTACTTTCAAATATGTGTCTTAATATCCACACTTAAGAGCTAAGCACTTTGAAGGCTTTTTCAGTTTGGTTGTTTTCATGCAGTGTAATGTGTTATTAAATGTTCCTTTTGAACATATCCTGAACAGACTCTGGGCTACACAGCTCAGATTGGTAATCATTTTTTAATTAGAAATAAGTAATCTATGATTATCCATTTTCTTGCRAAGCTAAAAAAAAATCAGCTGGAAATACTAACAAAGAGTGAAATAAGAGTTGAATTCTTGGTGGGTGGAATTAGAGCATTTTCATCTCAGCTGAGTGTCCTACCCATTGAGTTATTACTGTTTAGAGGTGGATGCTTTGCATGTCTGCTTTTAAAAATGRACCGCTGCTTTTGTGCACTTATTTATTTTGCAAGTCAGGATTTATTCTTTGGCCAGCTTATGRCCAACATGTGGATATTATAAAGCAAAAAAAAAGAAAAGCCTGCATAGGAAATAGAAGTAGACGTTAATACAACAGATTTTCTTTTGCTACAACAGATTAACAGAAATGTAAATGTCATAACTTACTATCTGTTATATACCAATGATTTAAGTGCAGAGGGAAAGTCAGTACTGAACTACTGACTCGGAGGCCATGAACAAGACAAGAAGAGTTTAAACCGAAACTTAGTTTTTTTTCAAGCTTACTTTTTGTGTATGCTCATAAGGTAGGCTGTAATAAGGTAGCTATAGGAACTTGAAGGAGAACCGCTCGCAAAGAAAAGGGCTAGAAATATATGATATTTTTTGTTTGTTTTTCTTTTTAAACTTTCTGTAGGCTTTGTTAGCTTCCGAACCGAAGAAGGGCAAAGCAGAGTTGCTGAAAATGACAATGACAGAATTGCTGGCTTTGGCCGCACCTCTGAAAGAAGCAGCAAGTGTAATTCCACAGGTAAAATACTATGTGCAATCTAAAGGCACAGGTCAAAATTATATTTGTTGTTCTTCAGTTAAGGAAATATATCTGTCGTTACTAGTACYTTTTTATTATCTATAGCAAGCTAGATTTTAAAATGCATTGACATGTACAGAGATTATGGGGTTACTGGAATTTGCAATATTAAATGTGAAATTATGTCAGTTTTGTTAAGTGCAACAAATAGTCATATTCACTTAGAATTTGGACAATGAGTTTACTACTCATAGTAGAGGTTGACTGTTTTATTTGTTTGTATATAAAAATATACAAGGAGATTAGCAAGCATTTGTTTACATTTGGAGTATAAAAATGCATTACATAAACCATAGAAATGATATTGTATGCAGGAAAAGTATATAAAAATATTATACATACCAAGTAACACACAAAACTTAAATACATGCATTTTACATGTAAAAATTTGTTCTGAAGTCAAATTGTTAACCTGCAGGATTCAGTTACTGAATGCTTGAAAGCTCTGGCAACAAATCATGGTTCACATTATACAAATACAGAAATTAACTGGATGCTAATCACTGTGCCAGATCATCTTCTGGTATAAATTTATGTGCCCTTATCAAAGTCTGTGAAGCTGCACAGATTACCACCTTCCTCTAGCGAGCATAAATAAAGACAAGAAAAAGCTCCATTTGGTGAGGCAAGCCTATCTGTCAGCTTTAGTTTAAAATTGGTGATGGTTTTCCTCCTTCGAGTCGCAGTTAATTTTTTCTCACAGTATCTACAGCATCTCAAGAATGTTGAAAAAGATGATTATCAACTCTGAAAGTTGTTCTTGCAGTCAGTCATGATAACCTAAGGAAAGGAGCATGCTGGCCTTCACTGTGATGACTGAACTGTAGTTGTTACAAATATATATTACAAAATATTAATCACTTTAACACTGTTTATTACTGTACCATTTCAATGTTATTTTTTTTAATACGAATATTTCAAGATTATATTTAATGTAGACTTGAAGTGCAGGGGTGCCTACAGATTATTTTTGCTTTGTGTTCATTGCTGAACAATGGAATGCAATTACATTACATGCATTACATTTAAGATGTAATTAAGCTGCATCACGTTTAAGGGCTTCTCCAATGAATGTGTATTTTCTTCCGTCTCTCTTGTCCCCACAGGTTCATGCTTTAAATATCCTGCGAGCGCTGTTCAGGGATACCCGCTTAGGTGAAAACATCATGCCCTACGTGGCAGATGGAATACAGGCAGCAGTGCTGGGTTTCACGTCCCCTGTTTGGGCAGTAAGTTGCTGCTTAATTTTATTTCTGTAGCTTCAAAGAATGCCTAGTGGTGTTCTTAAGCAGAGCTTTGGTAGTGTTTGTGGTAAGAGTACCAAAGTTGTTGGAGTGGTGTATGATGTAATATTAACAGGGACAATAAAGAATAATGGAGACCCCCAGAAAACTTGGGTTCAGCCTTGGTATATACATTTTTTGTCATTATTTTCCTGTAGTATGAAGTACTACTGATAAGAACGAGGGGCAAAGATTACCTTCCAGATAAAGGTATATGTCTGACAGATTTTGAGTCAGTATGCCTAGCTAGTAAAAAGTAATTTATATTTCTTCTCKCTGTGACTTTGACCATTCATTAAAACGTGACGTAATAAACTAGAACGCTTAATGACCTGCCATGGATAAGGGTGAATGCCTTATCTGTTAGAAATCTGGATACATCCTGTAATGTACAAATAGACATCTGCAAAAAAAACCCTGAACTTTCTATTAATGCCATCCTGACTTAACAGAAAATACTTTCTGAAGTCTTAGTTTCAGTGCACTGGTCTCTGCACAGTTTGTGTGTGCRGTCCTTCACTTAGTTATTTCTATGCTCTGTTTTAAAATTTAAGCATCAGCAAGTACAACTTAAAGGTTTCTTAAACTTCATCTTTTTTTTCTTTTCCTTCAGGTAAGAAATTCTTCAACTCTTCTTTTTAGTGCTCTAATTACAAGAATTTTTGGAGTTAAAAGAGGGAAGGATGAAAATTCAAAAAAAAAYAGGTAAGCTATAGTTGGTACCCCTTTTAAATTTACAAAACATGTCCTTGGCCACCAACAATTGAAAATGCTGCTTGCTGTATGGATATGTTTGAATCAAACCTAAATGGATGTTTTTAATAATACTTTGCTTAAGCTGTCCTACTAGGTGCCCAGGATACCTGCTGTTCAGCAGTAAGTGTTAATCGGTGCTCATGAGCTGTGGCACAGGGAAGGGAGGCTGCTCAGATGTTTGGGCACCTACCCCCTTACAGGTGATCAGTGTCGCTTGTGGTCCTGAGCTAGGGCTGCTGCTCTTGACAGCAAGGGGAGGAGTGAAGGACAAGAGGGGCAGGGCTCGCTCAGGTGTGTTCCTTTCCCTGTGAAGCAGGCCTATAGTYTCACGCCAGCTGGTGTGCAATTTTCCCCTTTAGTCTTTTTACTCAAAAACACCTGTGTCTTTCCCTGATCTCTTTCCTCTAAGCTTCAAAAAGTGTCCTGCAAAACAGCTCTTTTCCCCAGGAGTTCAACCCTCTACAGTCCTGCTCCAAATCCTGTCTCTCACGGGTGTCTTCTGTAATCCCAAGTTTCTTCTGACCCCAGAACTGCCCAGTCTTGAGTATTTCCATTTTTTGGAGCCCACTTGCCAGAGCATAAGCTGAAAAAGTGTCTGTTTTTCCAGAAGGACCCTTTTCCAACCCAGCACTTATCCTGCAGCCCTTTAGCTTCTGCAGCAAGACATGTCCTTGCCCTGTGCTCTGTAGCTGAGGCTGCCCTTCTAGTAGGGATTCAGAAATAATCCAGAAAAAAAAAAAAAAAAAAAACCCCGTTGATGAGACTGCAGGGCCATAGGGTGTTCATGTTATGGGTAATTATTGTAAACATTTCAGAAATTTCTGGTGGATCTCCAAAACGTCAGCAAGGTACCCAGTTTCTGAAAGAAGACAACCCTTTCTGAAAAAGTTGCTCATTTTGACTTGCTAAGCAGTGATTCTGCATGACTCCTGCAGTTTGCATGCCTCCAGAGGTGTAGCCTGCTAGTGGTTTCTGTGGTGTAACTGTTAGTTGTTCAGTGTATCTACCTAATTGCTGATGTCACTCGGTCATAGGAGTAACGTGACAAATTATTTATGATGATGATAACACAAAACCATAGAGTGTTGTCCCAGTGAAAAATTAGGTACTACTAAGGGCATATGAATGATAGAAAGAAGTACTAGTGGGAGATCACAGAGGGAGATTTTGCTTTAAATATAAATAATAATCTCTATGTAAGCCTCATCTATACCTGGAATCCCTCAGCCTGTGAACCCCAAGCAAATTTTCTTCTCTTTTCACATTAATTTTGTAACACTGTTTCTTGAGGTTTTTCCAGATTTAGCTCTTGCTAGATGAGATCTGTAACTCATGCAGACCTGTGGGGGAGTCATGCACCTGAGCATCTGCTGGGGTTGGGAAATGCAAGAACTGGGGAAAGTTAACTTCCATACATTCAACTCGAAGTCATTAAAAGCACTGCTAATGCTTATATAGCTGGCACTGTCAACCTTGAAACTTTCTGTTCACCGGAATCTCTCTGTAGTCATTTTGGCCAAGAGGTTCAATTTGACTTTTTTTTTTCCTTTCTGTTTTCACATTCTCCTTTTCCATTACAGACTTTATTTAGCCCATTTCTTATTTATAGGCAATACTTCAAAATACAACATGGGAAACCATTTTTTAGAAATAGGTCAATCACAGGCAGCAAGTACGAGAAACTCTTGTAGGAGTCTGCGACTGCCTTTGTCCTCTTCTTAAAGTGACTTGAATTCAAGTATACGATCCCTGGCCCTGAGATCCATGACAGTATCTCTGGCAGCCAGAGATACTGATATGGAAGCAGATGATGGAGCAGTTCTGCTGGTTTGGCCCAAGTGCCTCTTTCCTTTTGCAGGTGGGTGGCTCGCGGCCAGGCTGGCAGCGGGAGGCGCCACGCGGGGTCAGTGTCGCTCCACGGTCCCCGCCGCAGCGGCCCTGGGCTCCTTTCCCCCTCAGGAGCCCTAAGCCTGCTGGCTTTAGGACTTTGCTGGAGCAGGATTTATATGTTAAAGTGATTTTTTTTCCTTTACTCTTAAATCTGGCGGTTTGTTTTCAACAATTGTAGCAGYTTGTGTCTACAGGAGATTGTGTGAAAGCTGGGAGATCTCTGGCTTTGAGATTCTCACTGTTGCTCAGAGACTTTTCTGTGTGCAATAAGTGGCACGCTGTCTGAAACCAGGCAGAGCCTCCTGCTCTGGTGTGGCCCTAAGGACCTCGCATAGGTTTCATTTCAGCTCTGCGTGATTTTTAGGAAAGGTATTTTGAATGTCTACCCCTTGTCAGTGGGACTTGCCTTATTGCTGGGCTATTCTGGGTGTCTCTCTAAAACAAGGTGGTTTATGGTCACTTTCCCAACTAAAGTTTATGTGAAATAGCTAYGGTTTGGGCAAGAAATTTTGTAAATAATTCAAGTGAGAAAGCCTTGTCAGAAAAAGGACTGACACCACCGCTGCTGTTTTACCATACTATGTGTGTTATATCTTCCCTTTATTTATTTTTCTTTTCCTGGATTGGATGAATGAATGAACTAGAAGCAGTGTAGGGTCAGTCAGCTGTTCTGGTTTGTTTTTGTGGGTGATGATCGGGTGTGACTCCTAGTGTCTTGTCTTGGCCTCCAGACARTCCTTGTTTTGGCCGTTCACAGTAGAACAGTGCGAAAGGGTTCCCCATCTCGGGGACAGACAATGAAGGGATTAAGTTTGTTGACAGCAGAAATACTAAGTCACACCTKCAGCGACCATTTGTACTGCAGTCCAGAAGCAGGAGAGGAGCTGGGCTTTGGGAACACGAAATGGGTGRTAGATTGGTCAGTAATGTGGCCACAGCTCTGTTTCTGGCTCTGAGGACAAGACTACAGTGAGACTGTGTGGCAGAGAAAATCCCTTCTCTGAAAACCTGGGTTCTAGTTTGAGGAGATACTGGTATAAGATGCTTGTCTGTGCTCAGGTGTTGGTGGGATCATGCTGCAGATGTGTCATTTTGACCCTGTGTTTGCATCATTGGTTGTGTTGGAGCAAAGAACTAGACGGGGATTTCTGGAGCAGAAAAAGAGCTWCATAGGTGTGAACGGGTTGTGCAGATGCACTGCCCTCTGCTTCCTCTGTTTTTGATGCTAAGTGTGTGCCTGCCTGCACATTTAGCAGCTAGGTAGGACCAGATGAATTGTGCAGAGCTCTGATGGGGCTTCTCAGGTGGCTGCTGCTTGCAGACGGAGGAACTGCCTCTGGTATTACCAGGATAAAACGAAGGTTTTGTGGCACCAAAGTGGCTGAGCACTACTGGCACCTGGTGTCAGAAATTAGGTAGCACAGCGAAGGTCTCGACACCATTGGATTCTCCGTGATTCTAATGCTGAAATGCYCTCGGAGAGGCACTGGTGGCAGGAGTCCCCCATGCTAAGGGATTGCAGCACCACCTGACAGGATGGTGACCAGTGTGATGGGTCTGCAGTCCTGGCACGGAGGGGCTTTGAGGAGGCAGCMGAGTGCTGGCCTCTTGGACTGGCTTCCTCAGGCCAACACAGATGTGATCGGATCCGTAAAACTTGCCTTGGAGCTCAGGCTTCCTTGGACTGCCAGCTGCAGGGGAACAGCTCAGGCTGCTTTATCTTGGATCCYGACGGCGCTTCCCTAGCGAGTTTTCTCTGGCGTCCTCAGTCTGTCACAGCTTCTTCCAATGCAGTCGAAATCCTGGCTCAGTGATGATGATGATGATGTTTCATGAGTCACCTAAGGAGATTAAATGCCCTTGGTCTGTCTGATCCTTTTCCTCCGAGCTCCTTCTTGACAACATTTTGTCATCTATTTCCTCCGGGCCACCTTCGTTTTTCCAGTGTCTGCTTCCAAAGCAGGGTCCGATGCAGTAGATTAGCCTACGATGGCTTGTTTTTGTTTAAAAAAAAAAAAAAAAAAAAAAACCCACACCTCCCCCTTCTTTCTGCCAAAAATAGGCCATGTTTATTTTGGTCAACTTTCTTTGTGCTGTTGTTTTAAATGCCCTGGCTCTTTTTTATTGACTTTGACAGATTTGGAAGACTTGATGTCAGAACTATCTCAAGAAAGCATGCGAAAGTTCAGGTTGAATCAGATAACCATTACAGCTCTCCTGATTAATAGTTCAATAACAATATGTTTGTTTAAGTATAATTTGGAACAGGCTTCCTATTCCTAAATGTTTTTACAGTGGGAGTAATGATGATAAGGTACTATTAACTGGTAAAGGCAAGATGAAAGTTTTGTGCAGAAACTCACACACATTAAAAACAAGCTCATAAATCTGTTTTTCCCCTTATTGTTACTTTATTCACTTGACAACTTCAAAACTATCTAAAATGTTTAGCCTGTGGCAAAAACAGACTCTTCTCCTTGAGCTGAAGGATGCTGTTTGTTTGATTTCAGTTGGTTTTGGGAACAGGAGATGCCAGTGTCTTGCTGAAATGCCTGATGTCCACAGACCTGCTTTGACTCGAAGGTTTTATTTTCTGTACCCTTCGTTAGAACAATATTAATGTGCATAAATTCCAGTCAGATCTGTGGGGTCACACACACGTATCYGCTCACTCCTGATGTGGGAGAGACTTGATAATGTGATGTCCTATGTCTGAGACAGAAAACAGACATGAATACAATAAAGAAAACTGAATAAAGGCTGACCCAAAGTAAAAATACATGTGTTGCTCTGAAGTAATTCCAATCCATTCATTCATTTTAAATAAGTTAAGGGCATAATGATAATGTTTAACATAATGAGTGATTTCATCTAATGAAATAGATGAAATTAAAAAAGCCTGACCATATATGTAACTTAGTTTCTGTTGCCATGATAAAAGCTTTCATAAATTTGAATTGATGCAACTGTCCTGTTTTGTTCCATGCATAATCTAGACAGCCCCTAATTCAGAAACTTCGTGTACAAGGGAATAAGCAGTTAACTCTCCACAGAAGTAC